AGTCTTTCTGGTTCAAAATCACTGTGCACCTTCCTTTGTCTGCTGGGAGAATGATGATGTTTTTGTCCTTGCTAAGAGTGGTGAGTGCATCCCTCTCCTCTCTACTGATGTTGGAAGGTGGTGGTTTGGCATTGCTGAGGCAGGCTGAAACTTTGATTCTGAGCTGTTCTGCTTCAGCCTCTTTAATTTTGTTGTTGCGGATGGCTGACTCAGTAGCTGTGATCATCTCCACCAGAGGAATTCTACTTGGCACAACCGCAAAGTTCAGTCCCCTGGCAAGAATCTCTGTCTCCGGCTGGGTGAGCTGTCTGTCAGACAAATTCTTCACCCACTTTTCTGTCTACCTGGCATATAATTGACTACTGGAGTGTTGTTCTACACTGAATGTGTTGTTATTGGAATAGTGATGGTGTTGATGAATTATTAGTACGTTAAACTTTTTTTGTTGTCGAGTCTTGGACTTGACATGCTGTGCTAAGCGTGCCTGATCTGTACAGTCCATCACTTGCTGAAGTGTGGTGTAGTGAACCTGATCTGACCCTGATCTGACCCTGATGACCTCAAATCTATCAGATGGACAGAGACTGTTATTTCATTGATCTGAATACAGTTTGAGCCATCTGGTGACTCTCTTTCTTGAATTAATCAAGCAGAAAAGACAATTTTTATGATCATCACTGTTTTACAAATGTTTGATAATCAAATTGTGTTAGTTCACTCAATGTTACAGGTTGAAGAGAACTACTCATTTTTATTTTACATAAACAGTAAGTAATGATTTTTATTCCTCATTCAAAGAAGAAATCAGGTTAATATGCATTTCTTGATTTTTCTGCCTGCAATGTAAGTATGTTAAAGGTCGGTTTTCGGTCAACTAAAATGTTTACCGAGAAAAATGTCATGTTTAACTATTCGAGAAGATACAACAGAGTGAGACTCCACGAAGTCTGCTTTTCTGCAATAATCTCTCTGTCAGTTGTTGAACAATCTCATTCTCTGACCTTGGCTTAGATAACATCTTACGTCACAAAAACACACCTCTTTCTGGTCCATCCACGAATCAGAAAGCTCTAAAGTGAACCCGGAAGTCAACTCATTTAAAATATGGCAACTTCCCAGTTCATGAAAAAATTCCAGAGAATTCCAGAGAGTTCCAGAGAATCAAGGAGAATCA